CAAACTTAATTTTGAATTACTATACAACAAAGGATAAAGCTACCGAAAACTAATTTGGAATTTTGTTTTCAAAGTTGTCTGCCTGGTCGACCACTTGTCAACAATGACTCCTATGTACCTGACAGTGTTCCCGTGGTAAACGAGTCTCAAGGGGGACTGCGACGTTTTTTCGGCCCACTCCAATACTTCCTCCACCACATTCTGCAGCCTGTCATGAACCACCCAGCAGAACACTATCGGGCTACTTGTGTACTGTCATCAGCTTTTGCGTTTGATACATCTAAAACTAAGATGTCTGTATTTTTCTTGAGGGTAAACTCCCTGTTACATGCTCCCCTAGTCTGACTGTAACTCACTATGCTCAGACCGAAAGCCAAATTGCCCAACAGAAGTATCCACTTATATGGCAATGTGATTGAAGCAGAGCGTTAGATTACCTACAGCATTTTTAACTGAAATAATGGCGCTAACAGTTTCTTGAAAAATTGAAGAAACAAATGAGTATAAGAAATTTAAGGGTATTACAAATTCTCCTCAGCTCAAAATGCATTCAAATCTGACCCACCCGACTCGGGTAAACACCATCTAATTTGAATGTAGAGTGCTTAAGACATTTCTTCTGCTCACTCTCCATCTCATTAGTATGGATTTGATAATACGGATGCCATACATTTGATGTGTATTCCAGCTTAGAACGCACTAAGGGGCAGTATAATGTCTTGAGTCTTACTTCAAAATGTTTTTAATGTATTAAAGAATCTAGACTTTTCATGGCAGATGGCACTATCATATTAATATGATCAATAAATTCTAATTTTGCATCACACAACATACTCTTACTTCAGAGGAACCTCATTAAGCTAAAGCCCTCCAGCGTATAATCAAAACTTACTGAATTCGTTTTCTTGGTAACAGAACAGAAATTGCATTTGGCAACATTCAGATTTAATTTGTAAGTTGCACACCATTCAAAGATATGATTTAGGTTAGTTTGCAAGGTTAGACAGTCATTAATGCTGTCGATCTGAGCACATATTTCCAAAACATCAACAAACAACAGTGAAGAACAAGTTAAACAGTTAGGCAGTCATTAATAAAATAAAGAAAGAGAAAAGGGCCTAAATTTGACCCCTGTGGTACGCCGGATGAGACCGAGTATAGTAGATTTGAAAGCATTGTAAGTTACGTAATTAGTTCTATCATGCAAGTAGGATGAGTTTACTGATGATTCTTTGTTGACTAATCTTATCGAAGGCCTTCGAGAAATCTGTAGAAACTACATCCCGCTGGCTCCCATTAGGGATGTCTTTTAAGTTTTGCATATGGAAATAAAACAACACGATAGGTAGTTTTAATGACTTTCTTGTTTTTTGAAGTATTCTCCACGAAGATTAATACACATCTGCATGCGCTCGAACCAATTTTCGAAGCACTTATTCCACTCGTTTGCTGGCAGATCCAAAGCGCCATTTTTGAATGCGTCAACTGCTTCTTCTATGACTGGAACCTTCGACCACGCAGTCTGTTTTTAATTTTCGGGAAAGTGAAGAAATCATTAGGACTTAGTTCGGGACTATATGGTCCAATAATTCCACGTTTTCTTCCGTTAAATACTGCCTTGTTTTTTGGGCTGTGTGCGAGCTTGCATTGTCTTGGTGGAGGATGATTCTTCTTTCGGGGTTGATTTTTTGAAGCTCCGTGATGACTTTTGGCAAACAAATGGTGGTATACCAATCCGCAGCAACAGTTCTTTGCTCATTAAGAGGAATTGTTGCAATATGACCCGCTTTTGACACAAATGTCGCGACCATCTTTTTCGAAACACTTCGAGAACGGATGACTTTTGTTGGCTTTTCTTCACCTTGGAACACCCACACAGCCGACTGTCGTTTATTTTCTGGTTCATAAGAGTAAATCCACGATTAATGTAAAATGTAAAATTTTTTGAATTGAGGTCTATGAGATCTTCAAAGACGCCTCAATCTCGCGATATGTCATATGTCTATATTCAATGATGGGTTTGCGCACAGTATCGACGTTTTCCTGGATGACTGCCGTTGTTGGTGCACCCACCCTGGGATCGTCGCTAAGACTCACCCGTCCACGTTTGAATTCTCCATACCAACGGGAAATTGTCGACTGATGTGGCGCTTTGTTGCCTAAAACAGACAGTAACTCAGCAAGGCATTCTTGTTGCGATAATTGTCTCTGAAAGTTGTAATAAATTATTGCGCCGTTGTGTTCCATTTTTCTAATGACTTGGTGACACTTAAAAATTCACTGTAGTGAGAACACTGCACGTATTGTTGTGAAACTTTGAATTTAAGTTTACTAAAGAGTGAGGTTAAGATTCAGTACTGATGTTCGATCCGCGCGGCCTACTATGTTTCTATATGCAAAACTTAAAAGACATCCCTCGTATCTAAAACCTCCGCGGGTTATTGGGTAACTTCAGTTAAGTTATAAATGGTTGAGCGATTGCGCGTAAATATATGTTGTGACTCATGCACACTGAAAACCAAATACCACGGATGTGGTAATGTATACCAGAGAGAAGCGCGAGAAGCGTTGCTTAGCAAACCGAGTACGAGGTCACGGATGTCATCTGCGCATTCTTTCTAACATACATATTGCACGCTTCTTACGCTTCCCTCTGGTACATATTACGACGTCAGCCAAATTTGAACCTCACCATGATTATGAGATGCGATGTTAAGGGATAGATATAACTGTACATAGAAATCTAAAGTCTGACGAGAAACGTTCAAGGTGACAATGAAACACTTTCGACGGGCTTAGAAGGAGCTGACAGTAGTCTAATGGGACGGGGGAATATCGAACCTACCTTGTGTCTTTCCCACGAACTTTTTCGCGCTGAACTGGAATTTGAAGTGAAAACTGAAGGCTGCGACAAATCTTAGAGAAAAGACATAAAAACGATCCACAGGTATCGTTTTTGCGCGACTTTGCTACTTTTCAAGGAGGAAAACTTGAGCCGAGCATTCCCACCAGAAAGTCGCTCCACTGCTTATTACGAACAACGCAAGTACACAATCGACCAGAGAACTCGAAAAAGATACAAAAAAGAGCTTTAGGGGTAATTTTGCATCGATTACAAAACGTTTAAAATTGAATATTTCACTTATATCAGTTTTCCGGTGTAGATAATGTATATATCGCAATTCAAATTTTAGCACAGTATTCTTAGATTTTACAAAATGTCAAGACCATATGTAACTTGGCAATAACGGCTGTTATGATGGAAATTGTGTGCGAACGTCTGAATACAGAATATGGTTTGACATCTTGGAGATTACGTAATTCAATGCTAATATGCTTCTGTCATAAATGTCTTGGCATTTTGTAAATATCTTAGAATCCTCGCTCAAAATTGAATCGCCAAATATATCAGCTACACCGGAAATCTGATATACCTAGTGGTTGATGAAACTGTCGTCACGTGAATTTGCCTATTATCAGTTATCATTATCGCGGACATATTCCGATGTCAGGTTATAGGTTATTTTGGACGATTTGTGTCATAAAAATGGATGCAAAGTTAATTCTAAACCTCGTTTTTGTATCTTTTTGGAGTTCCCGATCATCTATTGGCGACGGCGTGCTTGACCTCAAAAAATGGTGGATGTGTTAGGTAACATACTTTATAAACTACGATAATTCAATTTCCATAAGGAAATGGGTTGTACTTTATAGAGTGCGTATCTTCGTTCATACACAAGATTTCTTGCACTTCGAATGTCATCAGGATGACATATATGCTTGCTTAGGCCCGTATCGTCAGTCGTCCCTACAATTGTAGGACGCGTTTATGGCCTCCTTTCTAGATTACACTTGTCCCGTGTCAGCGTCAGCGCTCTCCTATTGTGAAGATATGTTTTCTTTTTAAATTGTAGGAAATTTCAGGCTGATAAAACATGATATAACTCAAAAGCAAGTACAATTTGATGCAAATAGATGTTTGTGACATAACCTCAAAATAGAGTTCTGACACGGAGAAGTAGAAAACTATGACAATCAAGGAGGCCAAAAAGGCGCCCTACAATTGTAGGGACGACTGAAGATACGGGCCTTAATTGTCGCCTTTTTGTCAAACATTGTCTGACAAATGTCAGTAGGGACGCGGTTTCGGCCGTCATGGTAGATATTAGGCCGTTGGGGTTTTCAGGGGGGCTTGAGCCCCAAAGCTGTTCCCTTGAATACGCTAGTACTACCAGAAATTGGTACATTACTAATACGGGGTGAATGATGAATCTTTACCAGCGGCGTAGCTACAGCCATATCAGCCGTATCGATGATACGGGGCCCCCAGCTTACAGGGACCCCCAGGTTCGGAACAAAATACGTAAAATGTTTTTCACAATCTCACGCAAGTCTTAAGGCCGCACGCTAAATTATTAATTCTCAAGTGCTAAATCTTTGATTGTACGGCTATTATTAACCCTCTACATAACAACTACAAGAGCTGAAGGAAGCTTTTCGAAATTAAAGGTAATTAAAATACCTTAGGACTTTGACTATCAAGTATGGTAGTATTTTCAGAGGCTGAAAATTTAGAAACACTAAAATCGTCTCCCTCTTTAATAATTTTTTTTTAGAAAAAACAATAATGGCAAGTAGATTGACTCGCTAGTTTCTAAGCATTAACATAATATGATTGTCTTCAAATTTTCCAGAAGTCAAGACAAGCCTTGCTAAAGGAACAAAATGTTTGAGTTAGGATTCGTTAGGTAGGGCTCCCTACAAATTTTCATATGGGGCCCCTATAGAGCAAGATACGCCACTGATCTTTACACTATGCCACTTAGAGCAAGACGAAAACGGTGGTGTTACTGGAAAAAACTCCCATTATTTTTTTAATGCATTTGGTGTAATGTTCCTATATGTTTAAGAAAGTTTCACAAACAAAACCTCGTATTTGTGATGTCTTGGGAAGAATAGAACCAACCTACTTGGCCCACTTTCTCGGCATGTAACGAAAATGCAGTTAGTTCATGAAGCTTTTATTTTGAATATTTTTCTTTGAGTTGTTAAATGGCAGTAGTGTATTCTAAAAATTGACTAGCTGCTAAGGAAGCAGAATCATCGATCAAAATGGACTTCTCATCTTTGCCTGGCTTTGTTGACCAAATTACTTTCATACCATTTTCGTGATCCTGTAAAAGAAGTTTAAGTGTAAGAATTATCTAAAATACGTTCCGAAGATGGGGTAGTGAAATAATTATAGCAGAAAGAATGAACGCTTATTTTATAGAGAGTATAAATTAAATAGTGGAGACGATTGATGACGGTGATCGTAACTTAAGTTCATTACAAGTATAACGTAACTCATCAATGAATCAATTTAGTACATTAAATAAACAAAAGCTAACTCAGAGTTGAAATCTAATAAAAATCCTGAGAGTCTCTCAAAGCAGATTCTAAATGATTGTTTCAGTATAATTGGAGAGAAATTATTATTATTGGTGAATAATTGTTTAGTGCGTGGTGACTTTCCATCAAAATTAAAGTGTTCGGCCAAAAGTTGAACCTTTTGAGCTATATACAAATATGCGGCCGATTAATGTCTTACTAGATGTCGAGAAGCTGTTTGAAGATACATACGATCAAATCCTTGAATTAGTTGAAAACAAAATTTTGACAAAATATCAAGTTGGATTTAGAAAGACATATTCTACAGAAACAGCAACCCAAATGGTCAGGGAAGACTGGAGAAGTATAGATGCGAAAAAATGTACTGTACCAGTATTTCTAGACCTTAAAAAGGCATTTGAGGCTATAGATAGGGAAAAATTGTTAATAAAATTGCATCACTATGGTCTTAAAATATCAGTATTCAATATTTACAATTTTACAAATTATTTAGTAAATAGAAGTGAAAAAACTAAAATTGGAAATATTGTCAAGCGTTCAGAATATTAGTCCAATCATATTAGCAAATGTCCCCGAAATAATTGTTAAGTCTGTTTTTATGGGTGCCATTTGTTCAAGGGGGTATTTAAAACATGGACGCATAAAATGGGTACACCAATTTTTGTGGGAACACTTTTTATTTGACAACAAAGAATGAGAATGTGTTTTTTGGCATTCAATAGAGAGGGTTGACAGGAACAAAAAACTTTTCAGATAAGATTTTTAGGTATTTATGAGACCTACAAAATGAGACTACATGTAAAAAGATCCGACTAAAAGCAAAAATGTTATGTCCGAAAAACGAGGCAAAATGCAGGTTTTGGCACTTGGTAATGCGGCGATAATTTCACGCAACTACTTGAAATTTTTAAAATCCCTAGGATTCATACTTCTTAATATCAACAACAAAATTGGAGTATATTGGTCAAGTAGTTTTTTGAGAATTTCTAATTGTTTATCCCAAAACACTTGTTTTCCGGCCATCACTGCTAGTTTAATGAGTAATATACATGGTTCGTTCAAAGAGCATTTATTACCTAGCAAAATACACGTGCTTACCTTGCCGATATGAATCATAAACCATTCCGAAAGATGAATTTTATTTTTATGCGAAAAATAAAGGGTACGTTTTTTTCTTCTAAACAAATTCAAACATTTCGTATTTGTGACTGGAGTAAGCTTGGAGGTGCCTCTGTCGCTAATCAAGCTAGAGGTACTCCAGAAGCTCCCGATTTATGTACCTCTCTATCAGCTTACTTATAACAGAAAGCAGAGATATAGACCTGTAGTTGTAAGATTGCAGATTATTTTTTTTTAGATATTAGAGGTGCAAATTTTAAGTTTTCTGGTGAAGTGCCGGAGTCGCAAGATATCTGGAAGAGACGCGAAAGAACTGAGGCAATCTCCGCTGCACATCTCTTCAATACAACGGCATGAATCAAGTCCGGGCCAGAAGCTTTGTTTATGTCGAGCGACAAGAGCACCCGTCTTACGGTCTTATGCCTAAATATTACTTCCTCCTTTGAATCGACAGCACTCGGGCGTTGGGGGGGAGTTGACAGCAAAGATCCTGGAAAGCACTGCCGCCGTAGCCTTTGAGTTGGTTACAATTGTTCTATCCTGGCACGTAAGTATTGGATGGCTACTCTGCGAGAAGTTCCGTCCAGTCTGCCTTTTGCATAATTTTTACATCCTACTGGCTTTTGGCACTTCGTTATTTGTTTCTGGACTTGACTTCGGCTTTTCTATTCTCTACAGTGGAATTTTGTAAGAAGGTTCTGTGTGGCTTGATCATCTGCTGGTGAGCAGTGCTTGATTTGTTGAAGCAGCCATCGAACCCTGATTTAGGCACTTTCACTGCATTCCTCAATCCCAACGTGGATAATTTCGTTTATTGATGAACAGGCAGCCGACGCATCCGAGTCAGCGAAAAAAACACCTCTCCAAGGAAAGGAGCAGAAAAAATCTGAGCCCTTCCCAGGTGGCATGTCCGTAATGCCAGATTTTGCGGCCTGGACGAGTTTCTGGTTTCACAGACGGTTCTGACCTAAACCTAACCTCCACAACACCACGATCTGAGTAACCCAGCGGAGACAGGACAGTAGGTATAGGATGCGTGGCCAGAAAGAGATTCAGCAGACTACTTGCGTGTGAGGAATCGCGAGGGAAAAAGTTTGCTTGATAAACTGTCTAAAGTAGTGCAGGAGGTGCGTCCAGCATCAACATATAGGAAGGACATGGTTATGTACCATGACAACGCCGGAACACACAGTACAATACTCAAAAAAAGAGAAATTTCAAGGCTTTGGTTGGGATCTAAGCGCCCACCATATTCTTTAGCTTTGTAGCTTTCATCAATTTTGCACTCTGCAAAACGATCTTGATTTGAGTCAACTGCACTGAGAAAAAATATAATTGAACCAATTAAAATTTAAATTAGGTCAATTAAAAGATTTAATTATTCATGTGACCGCTAACAAAATTAATCAGCTAAATTAAACTTCGATTTCTAAAACAGTTCACTTGTATCTATCTTAATTAAACCAAAACGCGATCGTTTAATTGAATTCAGTAAAGCATTTACTTAGATGGGCAACAACATTTATTTAAAATTTATGAACTATTTATAATGAGATATCATACCTGCTCCAAGAAAAACGATTTAACTATAGATATTAAATTTAGTTTAGGTCAAGTGTTTGTTTAGTTTTAATGAATTATTCTATTAGATTTAATAATAATAATAATAGACGTCTTTATTTATCCACAACTACATTGTAGTATAGCCAAATGTCAGACTTATATGGCGAAGTTTAGCATGCTGCTACACTTAACCTTATAGTCTCTAACAGATGTTCAAAAGAATACACTATCCACAAACAGATTTGGTTCATTACATCGAAAGTAAAATTTAAAAAAGGCATACTTTCCAAACCCAAATGCACCAAAAAATTATTAATCTAAATTAAAGATGGAATAAAAAAGAAATGAATGATTACGTAAATTATATGTTTGGAGGGTTGAGTAATAATGTTTTAACTTTTTGTCGAAAGACATGTAATAAAAATTCTTTATATGTATACTTTAGGAAGGTCATTATAAATAATAGCAACATTGTAAGAAAAACTGCATTTAAAAAGTGTAAACGTATGCAGGGGTATTCTAATATTATTTTCTCTGAGAGTTCTACAGTGAACATCATTATTAAATGAAATTTTTTCCTTCAAGTAATAAGGTTTAGACGTGAGCAGCAATTTGTGAACAAAAACTGAATAGTGATACTTGACCATGTCATTAATTTTTAACCAGTTTAGAACGGGTTATTTCGCTGATACATGATCAAATTTACGTAAGCCAAAAATGAATCGTATGCAATTGTTTTGAATAACTTGAATAACGTTTTTAGTGAAATTGTCTAAACAAGTATAGTATACGCTATTACAATAATTTAGTATATGATATGACCAATGCTTCACATAGTTTTTTACGCAACTTAAAATTTAGTAAATACCTGTTTGCTATAAGAGTGCGCAGCCGTAGGTAGGTTTTCTGAGATAGACTTTTAACATGTTCAATAAACCTTAATTTTGTATCAAAAACAACACCAAGAATTTTTGCAGAATCAGAAAATTGCAAAATTTGGTTATTTATCTGAAAGTTCAACAGCTGTGTTACATTGTATGTTTTTCTTTGTGCGCAAAATAATAGCATTTTAGATTTTTGTGGATTAATAAGTAGATTGTGATCTAAAGAGTATTTAATTAATTTATTAACATCGTTTTGTAAAATTTGAGTAATATTATTGACATTATCTGGGTTAAAATAATGGAGCAATTGCGTATCGTCTGAAAATGACTGGACATGAGAATTATCAATACTTTCGCTTAAGTCGAACGTATATATGAGGAACAGAAGCGGCCCCAATACAGAGCCCTGAGGTACGCCTGAGGGAATTATTGTCACTTGGGAAATTTGTTGATTGAGAAAAACACACTGAGTTCTTTGATGAAGGTAACTGTCGAAAAATGAAAGGGATACACTTTCAAGACCTATGTAATTTAATTTAGCAAGTAATAATTTTTTCTAAAATTTTGGATAAAATTGGTAATAAACTGATAGGTCTGAGTTCATTATACTCAGTGGGTTTCATTTTTTTAGGAATTGGAATAATTAGAGCTTGTTTCCATGTGTTTGGAAAGTAGCCTTTTTCCAAACAGTCGTTAAAGATGTGGACGATGTGATGGAGAATAACTGGCAGGTAAAGCTGGATCATTGACAGGGATATACCATCAATTCCCTTCGCATCAGATTTTAGGCTCCCTATTGCCTGTAATACGTCATTTGAACTAATCTTATTCAATGAAAAAATATATTCAGAGATTAATTTATTTTTGAAATAGTTTTCGCAAACTAGTGAATCAATAGGTTTATAGCTATAAACAGACATAAAATAATCATTAATTTTGGTAGGGTCATTAAAACTTGCCGGAAGGGTTGGTTTACTACGAAAATTTATATCAAGTTGTTTGGGAGACTTCCACAATTTTTTTGAATCATTTTCATTTGACAAATTTTCGATATATGTCTTTTTGTCCCTCCTGATCATGTTAAGAGCACGGTTCCTAAGCGATTTGAAGTTATTACAGGCGTCCACGGTCTTATTAGTATATAAAGCTTGTGCAGTATTCTTTTCATCAAGAACAGTGCGCACTTCATTAGTTAACCAAGGTGATGGTGGCTTATTAATTCTTACAGTTTTAAAAGGTGCATGTTAATTATAGGTTTCCACGATAACGCTTGTAATGTGCATTACCTTCTCATCAATATTAGATTTCGTAAATAATTCATCTATGCCCGATTTAAAAAGATCGATAAGAAAATCATCCTCACTGAAATGTTTAAAATCCCTGATTGTGATAAATTTTTGATTTCTTTTATAAGATGGAATGTCAAAATGAAAAAATACGAGTTTGTGGTCCGAAATACCATTCGTGTCCATGACGGAAGAATAGTTGCATATTTGAGGATTATTTAAAAATATTGGATCGATTAATGTTGCAGTACTATCTGTGACACGGGTGGCTTCGGTTACGATTTGTGTGAACCCGATCAGCTCAAAACTCAGTGAGAATATATTGTTATTAAAAAAATTCATATTCAGATCTCCCAATATCACGATGTTATGATGATATAACCATTTAATAAATCTGCACATTGTTGTATGTTTTTAGACGGTGGTCGGTACAAAACACCTACTAACAGTTCACACTTACCCGCAACCAATTTAACCCAAATGCTTTCGAAAAAATCACCAAAATTTGTATGAATATATACCTCTTCAGCATGTAAATTTGATTTAACATAGATTCCAACTCCACCACCACGAGATTCTCTATCACAACGCAAGAAACAATAGCTGCTAATATTAACCACATCATCAGTAATATTTTCATTTAGCCACGTCACTGTAACAGCGAATACATCAAAATTTTCTAATGCTATTAAATTTACAATAGCATCAAAACTAGACATGAGGGAACGTACATTCAAGTGTCCGATAAGCATTTTACTACCAGCCATTAAGAGTATTTGAATCGTACATAATTTAGAAAAGATTTTGAGTACTCTAAATAATTCAAAACTGATCAAAATAAATAAAGATGATCGGTACTGTAAGATTTTTTATACTGGTGATTTGAATACAAACAGTTGCAACATTTCGAATGTGCCTGCTTACAAAAGGAAGTGTCATGGTTTTCTCCACACTGAGCACAGACTTTAGGATTTTGGCATTTTTTTCCAGAATGATTAAATCGGAAACAATTTGTGCACTGAGACACTTCATTATTTTTGTATACAGATACATTTTGAAATCCTAATAGAATTTTTCCATTATAATCTTCAAAAATCTGTTTAAATAAATTACCTGTGAGCTCTGCGTAAATAATATCATTTTTTTTGTGCACTATACTTAATAAAATTTATCTTAATATCTTCTTTTTCTATGAAATGGTTCTGTCTTGTGATGTCTTCTACTATCCCTTCTTCGGTAATTCGTTCATCTGTATGGTAGCCCACGATTTTGATATTAGGTCTAAACATTTTCGGTTCAGACACCTGGTACGATGCTGGCAATTTGTTCTGAATTTCTTCCTTTAACTGGGCATGATTACTTTTGTGGACCTTAATTTCCACACCACCGTTTCTAAAATTCTTCACGTCGTGAATTTTGATTTGAAGTTTAGACAAGCTTAAGTTTTTATCTAGATCTTTTCGCGTCTTGAGGCTTGTTTGTTGCTGGCTTGGTATAATCACTATGCTTTTCAATGGGATTTCCTTGCTTTTTGTAGCATAGGTTTTTTTTACAATTTGCGAATACGAAGTGCTTGTCATACTTGATTTTTCAATTATGTCAATCCTAGTATTCAGTTTCTTGAGGGCGTCAACTACAGTTTCTATTTTAGTAATATTTGTCGACAATAAATTCGGCTGATCTTGAAATCTAGTGTTCTCGTTCACAAGTTGCTCAATCAATCTATCTTTTTCTATTAATAACTGACTGTATGAATTAACTTTTTCATCTATTTTTATTTCCTGTTTTAGCTCCTCATTTGTTGTTCTAAGGCACTTACTGTTTTTAGGTGTTTCCGTTGGTGCATCACTTGGTTTGGTTACCACATTTTTGCACTCTCAGACGTAGCTGAAGCAATCTCAGCAGTTTTTTTTTCTTATTCATGGAGTACCCAGTATGGTCGTATCACTTTCTTCTAGTCTAGATGATTGATGTCAAATATTTTGTCAAAATTCTTCGCTGTATTGGCCGAAAAAATGTTTGCCACTGGAAAATCTGTTATCCTCCAAGAATATCAACGGAGCTGCACCGCAACAATAGTTGCAGTAGGGAGTAATAAAATATTTCAACAGTTTTCTCGAGGTATACGCGGATTCAGTGCAATAAGGCAAGTCAAAATGAAGTGACAATGACAATAATGATTTAAAAGGACATTAGGAAAATATCTATTTGGAATTTAAAAGAACAAATTGCATTTTACTGAATGATGTATACGAGTATTACAACTGTAGTCTGTCAGAACTTGATATTGATAGTTGATGTTTTCGAATCAAAATAAAAACTTCGAAATTTTATAACCCTAACAAAATCCGATATTTTTTATTTTCATTGTTTGTGAAGTTATTATATTTGGGATCAAGTTTAACCAATGATTTGTCTGTTTATTCAAAAACAGGTTATAGTATATCACCATTCACTAAAAGCAATTCTTTGTTTTAAATTCAGAAAGTAGGTAAACGGATACCTGCAACTGAATAAGGCCACTTGATCATGTGTACAAAAATTTTATTTATTTATAAAAATAAAACAATATTGTACTTTAAACAATCTAGAATATTTTCAAATACTACAAAGTCTACATCAACAGAAGGCTCCACCTCCTACACATACAATATAAGAGAAAAGCACATCAAGCCTATGTTAAGTACATATTTCGTATAAATGCCCTTCATTGACTTAAATATGGCTGCATAAATGAAATTTCGAAGTTCTCATTCAGTAAAGTCAGCAGTACAATACAGAGTGTTTCATTGGCAGCGAGAAATAATCTATCCATGGTTATGGGTCACTTAGCTCGAAGATTTCACTCGATTTCGAATGTGGAGCTCTACGCGAAAATCACAAATGAAACTGAGGAGTTCGAAGCGCGACACCAACACAGCGTCTGTCGCATACTCCCGATCATTCACGAATGAAAGACCGAGTCCTGTCGAGTCAACGATTGAAATAAACAGAAATATCTGTTATTATTAAAATGTTTAATTGATTTGAACCTACCTCTTCTATACAAACTAAATTACCTAATCAGATTAAACAGTTTAATAAAACAGTTATATGGTTTGATATTTTCAAACAAATTAGCTCAATAGTATATCACTTTCGATTAAACTGGTTCCAGAAAATTCAGTATAATTGAACCGAATAATTTAGTTACCTGAAATAATTGAACATCTTATAACGGATAAAGAAGATTTTCCAGAACAATCGTTTAATCGTTTAAATAATCACGTGTTCTCAGAGTGTGAGGCTCTCCAAAATCCCTTTTTGATTCTTTTAAAAGAGTCTCCCGAGTTAAAGTTTCTCAAATATGTTTTACCTACCAGCATACGTTCTTTAGAGACTTCCCTACTAATAGATCCTCCTATGTAAGTTGTTTCGTCTTCAAGGTCCGTTACTGCTGTTTTGGATTCTATGTATTCATTTGAATTTCCTGATGAAATTACATTGTAACAGTCGCATCTCGGATTAGTACATCTGCAAGTCTTCGCAGAAAAAGATATCTTCTTTACTAATTTGTTCGCGTTTGTTGCCATGCTGCCGCTAATCGATTGATGTCTTTCTGTGATAAAGGTACTAAATTAATGAAACAAGAATGGCCCCGAAGGTTCTGGACTGCCGCTATGTGGCGTACCGGAACCTTCTCGAACTAACGAGTACCTGCGATGCGGAATATATAAGCCGACGGCCGAGAGAGGGAAGCAGAGTTGAGTGAATGACGCGACATAATAATTCGTAAATAAGTAGTCAGACATAAATAGTGGTGTACATAAATGTTCTAGCTAGTTAAGTTATAGCTAGTTGTGTTGTGTTTTAAGTAAATTAGTACATTTCTTCTTGTGGAATCGAGTGTCTTTAATCCACATCCAAAAACCCAGAAAAACGCTACATCAATAGGGCTGACAGGACTAGGCCTCCTCCAGGAAAATGGATAGGAGGAGGCCTCCTAGTGATTCCAAGAATTAAGCTGTCAACGGTTTTAAATTTCTATGATAAAATACTAAAAGTGGGTAAATTAATACAGTTAACCAAACATTCATATTTTTAATGTCAGTAAAGTGAGAAATGATGTACTAATATAAGAAATAGAGCCTCCTGTTGGTGTTGACCTTTTAGTATTTGAAAATATCTTAGTTTGTTTCAATTGCTGTCGAATTTACACTACTCAAAAAAATAATAAGGAAGCAAGAAAACAATCAAAAGTTTTCGGTGATCTTTGACTGTATTTTCGTTAAACGTGGTCGTATCTAGACTTTAACAAAGCATTTTCAAGCTTTAAGATTCTAGTTCTCAGGTTTCTTACCTGAAAAATTTAGGAGCAACAGTTCTCATACAATGCTAACAGATAGCACAAGAACATTTTTTGCGAAATTTTTGCCCTCTTCTTTCCAGGCCACGGGCTTGAATCAGTATCATTTAGGCCATAATCCATATGGATCAGATAGCCCGTTTATTTAGCTTCAATATCCTGTTTTTTAAAACCTCGATACGATCAGTTTTCGCGGAATTATCTGACTTTGAATGTAAAAGAATCCTTTTGTCATCAACTATTGATATCTCGATAACTAATGGTCGCACAGAGAATGCAAGGGTATTTCCAAAAACTGTAATGAATCTCCAATAATATTTTACTTCTGTTATTGAGAATTTTTTTGTTTCCTTTGATTTTAAAAGAGTCAAAAAAGTTTCTTTGTGCATTTTTTTGGAAAATCGACCGCATTTTTTGGAACCGCTAAGGAGAAGGCTAATGCTTTTAGGTTTCTTATATCTCAATATGTGTCCCTAATAACCCTGCACGACGGCAGATCGATTCATTGTACTGTTTCTCCGGACCGACAAATTCCTAAATCCGCCTTTGAAACACCTCAAAAAAATGTTCCAGATCCGCCCCTGGCCAGTATTTTTGTTTGTCGGAATATTCCATGAATAAAAGAATGAAATTTTTCCAATAATTGCATTTTTGAAATTTAAGGTGTAACAGATATCCAATAGTGACAACAAAAGAAGAAAAATGGTTTTTCCATTTTCATTTAGATTACAGGATGATACAAAAATTTTGCTCCTTTGATTTTTGTCAAATATTAACCAATAGTTACGGAAACATTATTTTTTTTGGGTGTCTCATAGGCGGACTTAGGAAATTGTCAGTTCGGAGAAACAGTACAATGAATCGATTTGCCATGGTGCGAGGGTATTAGGGATACATTGGTGAATCAAAAAAAAAACCTAAAGACCTCTTCATTAGCAGTCCCTAAGATGGCAAGGCAAAAAGTGTCTTTTTTTAATTTCTTAAGATCAACACGACAGGAAACCAATACAAATCTTTTCAGAAATTCCCTTACATTCACTGTGCAATCATTTGTTACCGAGATATCAGTGGTCCATCACAAAAGGATCCTTGTCCATTCAAAGATTCTAAACACGGGATATTGAAGCTGAATAAATGATGAAATTGTTCATGCCCGTGTACTAAAAAGAGGGCAAACATTTTGGAACATTTTGTCTTGCGCTATCTGTTAGATTTGGCTGAGGACCATTGCTTCTATAATCTTTCGGTTAAAAAACCTGAATACTAGAGTTTTGAAGCATCAAAATGCACTTTTTTGAGTCTAGATTCGGGCATTTCCACCGAAATACAGCCTGTCACAAACCACCGAAAAATTTGTTTTTTTTTTCTTGCTCACTTAATTTCTTTGAGAAGTGTATTTATACAGGGTGATTTACAAGTCGTTACCAAAAATAAAACATCATACACAGGACCGCATCTTAAGGAGGGTCGTCTATGCAACATTTTTTCCTCGAGGGCTTCATTAAAAAAATACGGTGTGTTGAAGTTTAAAAAAAACATTTTTTTAATATCCTCAAAACCGTCAACCGGAATAAACTAAAATTTGGTATGTGGATTTACCTACGTATTGTTCACATTCAAAAGTCAACTCAAAATTAACGTGCACCAATGGCGGAGATACAGGGGGAAAGTGGCATTATTTTTCCAAATTACAATAGTAGGTACGCCAATGTTTTTTTTTTCGAAACGCACAATTTTTCGAGTTTTACCTTCAATTTGCTAGGAATAATTTCTCTTGTGTTTTTCCTAGGGTGCACTGTTTTCGTAAAAACAAAAATAAGACAAATTAGATTATTCAAGAAGAGCTGAGATACAGATAGTTTCAAAATAAAATAGGAGGCCTTGACACCAACTTGACGTTTCTTGGGAGATAGTTTGTCAAAGTTATGTGGTATACGGTTGTTATCTTTACTACTACCATTTTTTTTATAAAAGTCAAGTTAAAAGTTTATTTTCCATTTTTGAGTGTTGTGAAATGGAATTTAGCAATGATGAGTACGTCGATATTATTATTGTGTACGGGTTCTGTAATGGAAATGCTTTAGCGGCTTCTCGGAAGTATCAACGTAGATTTCCTAACAGACGCCAACCTACCCCAAAGGTTTTTACACGTTGATTTCTAAGATTTTGGCAATATGGAATTGCCAAACTTCCCGGAGTTAGAGGTCATGGTATCCGGCATACTGTTCAAGAGGAAACGGAAGTGATTAATTTGGCGTTGGATGATCCTACTACTAGGCAGATTGCAGCCCAGTTACCATGTTTCCAAAGTCTTGCGTGGAGAATCTTAAATCGGGAAGTTTTACATCCTTACCATCGGCAAAATGTACAGTGTCTGCAACCCGGCGACAAAGTGCAACGGCGAAATTTTTGTGAGTGGTTACTGCAAATGCATAATCAGAATGCAGGTTTTGATTTGGTTTTGTGGTCAGATGAATCGGTTTTTACGAGGAGTGGAACCTTTAATTCTCACAATGAACGTATTTGGTCGTTAGAAAATCCTCGTTCTTGAAGAAACCACTCGTTTCAACACAGATTTTCTAGAGATGTCTGGTGCAGCATTTTCAATTGGCAACTGTTTATGCACGTAATGCCACAACGATTAAATACAAACTCACACTTAGCTTTTCTAGAATGACATAGAAAATGTGTTAGATGATGTTCCGTTAGCAACGAGAGTGGTATCAGCACGACGAACGGTGCCCCACCGCATGTTCGTCGTGATATAATCGGATGAATAAATAATTTTAAACAACGATGGATTGGCAGAGGCGGACCCGTACGTTGGCCTGCGAGGTCTCTTGATTTGAATCCCATGGATTTATTTTTGTGGGGCGCTTTTAAGCAACTAGTGTTTTATATAATTAATACTGTTGATCAGTTATAAGAAGGAATAGAGAATGCGCTTCATCAAATTCAAGCCACTACAAATTTTGCGGAAATACGTCTTTCTTTATTAAAAAGATGCCGCAGTTGAATCTGTCACAATGGTGGTCTTTTTGAACATTTCTTGAAATCTAAATTGTTTTTTATTTTTACGAAACCAATGCACTCTAGGAAAAAAGACAAGAGTAATTATTAGTAGCGAATAAAGGTAAAATTCGAAAAAATAGAAAATAGCGCTTATCGAAAAAAAAACAGCGGCATACTATTTTTACATGCCGTGCCGGTCTCGTCGAAGTAAATACTACTTGTAGATGTTCAAAGCGAGTTGCAAGGACATACTACTAACCCTCTGCAATAGTAACCGATCGGTTGTACACAACTACACAAATTGTACGCAATATATGTGCCAACTAAATGTACATTACCATTGTAATGACTCAAGTTAGTGCTTTTAACTACAGGTAACATGACGTACATAAGTTGAAAAATTACCATCCGTTACATTGTAACAAGCACCTAATGTAATAACATGGTTATGTTTAAGGTGTGGCGACTTGGTTCATCTCAAATGCCGCTATTGGAATAAGAGATTTGGGAGGAGTCTCAGAAAACGCGTTCCAGTCCGCCGCGAGACTGTGCCTACTATAATTTAGCCGGCGCAGAGGTAGACGCATTTCATGTACTGTGGACTGTCAATTGTGACACATCCAGATCACACCATCCATCTAGAAGCACAGGCACCATGATAAAGTTACTTTACAGTGACAAATAAATACCCACATGAGTGGCCCCGAGACTTTCAAAAACTGAGAAATCCCAATTTCAGTAATATTCAACCCGATTCGGTTTCAATTAGTTTGCACATTCTGACCTGAGGTTAGGGCTAACAGTGTTGCTGATTTCCTCATCCAAATATCTACAGAGGTCACCAGCAACCCCTTTGGTTGGTTGAGAGCAACCACAATATCTATATTTCGATTGAGCCTGTAAATGCCCTTCAAAAACCATCTTATGCCTGCACCGTTAGTAGCATTTTGGGTAATAGATTGCTCAAACAATTATATCGTGATCTCTTATCACACTGTAAGGTGAGAAATTTCAAGATAGGTATTTCTTCCCGACAAAGGTCCTTCCGTAATCTAAGCCCACAATATCATAATGGATTATAGATGCTGATTGGAATGAAAACTTTCCAGTGAGGACAACCAGGGTAAGCTTCATAATTACTTGGAGCGGCGTCCTGGGTCCCTCCATCAGATCCTTGCGTTACTTCTAGAAGCAAAATTTCAGAAACACAGAATACATGAACCAAAATCAGGACGGTGACAGCTCCCACGTCCCATTGACGCTAAAGCTCATCTGTATCGGTATTACACCTAGACTTTATATTTGAAGCGAGGGCAGTAAGTTTTATCCCTTTTATGGGGTATAATATTCGACAACTCATCAATTCGGGAGCAAAGAATTGGATAATTCAATACCTCTGACTGAATCTGCCAATTTATTTGAGCACCAGCCGAGGTAGACCTTAAGTTATGTTATGTATACTGGCATAGTCGCATTAAAATTCCCTTGAGAATTTTGCAGGACAAGAAATTTCACTCGTTAGTGTATATTCGGCTATAACGAAATGAAAGACAAGCTGCCACCAAGATCTCGATGCTTACCGCAAAGTTTCGGACTCTGTCTTGGTTGCTGTCCTTTACTGCACTTACTAGTTTCAGTAATGTAAAAGTGCCCAATTTTTCCTTAAGGTATGTCTGATATGGTTTTATTAACTTTGTGAACACATGAGGGGCACAATTTACCTTAAACGGTAGAGCATTCTATTGGAAGAGCTGTCTCTTGAATATGAATGTGAAATATATTCTATGACTGTAACAAAATCTCTGCATATGCCAAATCCTGATTCGTTAAGAAAGTCTCTCTACGGAGAAATCTAATCCCAGTTCAATAGCTTTCTAAATTAAGTGTTCTATCCCTATAAACAGACAAAGTTTCTTGAAGTAAGGAATCAAACGTGTTGACCCATCAGACTTGCGGGCAAGAAAAAGTTGGATATCTGCTGATTTTTAGTTAGCTCAACTTTTTTACTGCTAGCACCGCAGCTAAGCAATTGAGAGACTGTCGTATGTCGGTAGTTCATAGATGGACTAATGAGATTCAGCTATGGCAGATTGCTGATCCAGTCGCCATGTGAATGGCAAGTGCCCACTCGAATCCAACTCCTAAAATTCTACTGTTGATGATGAACACGGGTATCATGTATCTTGAAAGGTGACGCTATATCGATTTTTTGAGATTATACTGTTTTTTTTTTGAGATTATGTAGGTTTTTCTACAAGATGTTAACTTAGCACTTAGTTGTACGTGTGGCCTAAACGTCACAAGGCTTCAGTTATTAATGTTTGGCTCCGCCGTGATGTAAAATCTGTTTCAGAGATGGCATTACTGGAGGTCTAAGCTGTAAGTTGTATGTGTTGATGATAATTCCATTGGGTTCTTGTGTCTCAAATACAGATTCAAAGCTAGAAATTAGTTGCGCAGCCACTTTTTCTTATCCATTCTGGAAATTACATATACATATTTGCCGAATATCAAAAATGTAATTACACACAATGCGGTAGCGGTGATGGCTTCCCGTAATTCTCCTCAGTTTTTCGTAATTTATAACTTTGAACATAAAATCTCTCCAGAAATCACAGCATATAAATAACCCGTCGCACAGCTAATAGATATACTTCATTGGCAGCATATTCAGTAATGATTGCAGACCAATACACATAATCATCTAGATACGATCTTGCTATTCAACCAACTTTCTTCTCAGGGATAAAAACTACAGACATAGACCACTCGCCACTCGGCCTCAGAAAACATATTCACGATCTCAGATCAATACCTCGTAAGTCCGAAAATGTCAATTTATGCATACAGGAGTCAAAACAGAACAAAATTAGAAAATCTACATTTTTCGAACTTACGGGGTATTGATTTGAGATCGTCGATATGCAACCAATAATGCGTGTAGTTTAGTTGAGTGATCCTCCATAGATGGACGTTCACAACGATCCTAGTAAGCAAACGTGGGATGACTGTTTCTGCCGTACAACTACCTAGTCTGCAAGATGACATCTTATAAGTTTTTTTGACGTTTTAAGAGGTTTTTTACATGATACCCGTGCAGGTCAATCTCCCTGCTGATCTATGTACCTCAACTGCAATAATCGGTGATGGCTGATCTCCGTACGTTGTCCGGCATTTTGGCCTTTAGTTGCTGCTCATATTTATCTGATTTATATTTAGAATTGACTTACTTGGTCAGACCTTCACCGAAGAGCAAGTTATCAATGAAAGCCTCTTTTAGAGTACTCCTGGCTTCTTTGTTAAATGTGAATATCCGCCAGCATGCGCCCCTCAATCTTCTTTGAACCTAGAGGAGAGAGTATTGCTACTTGCAGTTAATGAATAACTCACATGTTGCTCTACAGAGACCAAGCGCGCAACCCTGTGTGCGACAATTTCTATTACAGCGGCCGCCTCAGGGTTCACTTTAGGTGGCTAGAATTTATTCATCTATCGTCATCAACAAGACCTGCCCTCGAAATGCCAGCCTTGGAACAATGCGCGAACATTAATTATACTAAGGTCGCAGCATCATTGTGGTTATGCGTCATCTATTGAAACAGAATCCATGGCCTTCAAGTCATCACAATCCAGAGCGCACTACGGTTCGAGTGCCACCTATGAAAAATTTAACGCTAATCGGGCATAATGATACCTAATCTCCGCTATTGCTGAAAATTAGTACTTTGTGATTTCCTAACCGGTCATGTTCATACGTACAGTCCTGTTCCATAGTTATCACCACCCAGGTGGAATTTGGTATTACAAGCAAAATGTAATGCTAATCTACCATAGAAGTACCTAACTTCTATGTGTTAATAATAAAAAATGGCCCTTCGACGGTTTCGTAACCTGTCATGTGCATATTATTGACCTGTTCGATGGCTATCCCAAACAACATGTAATTTGCTATCACAAGCAAAATCTAGCGCTCGTCCCACATAGATGAATCCAAATCTCTATCTGTTATTAACGAAAAATGGTTCTTTAGCGGTTTCCTAAACTGTCATGTGCATTCTGACAATCATGTTCCAAGGTTATCACAAACCTGATGGAATTTGCTATCATAGGCAAAATGTAACGCTAACCTCGCATAAGGTGACTATTCGCTATCTGGTAATAAGAAAAAGATATACATTGGCGGATTCCTAACCTGACATGTTCATAATTTCAGACCTGTTCCATGGTTATCACAAACCTCGTGGAATTTGCTATCACAAGCAAAATGTAACTCTAATCTCACATAGATAAAACCTAATCCCTATCTGTTATTCATGAAAAATGGTATTTCGGCGGTTTCCTAAACTGTCATGAGCATTCTTACAATACTGTTCCAAGGTTATCACAAACCAGATGGAATTTGATATCACAAGCAAAATGTAAGGCTAACCTCGCATAAGATACTTAATCTCTACCTGGTAATAAGGAAAAAACATACTTTAACGATTTCCTAACCTGCCATCTTCAAACTTACAGTCCTGTTTAATGGTTATCACAAACCAGGTGGAATTTGCTATCACAAGCAAATGAGAAGAGATTATTGACCATACTTTGTTGCTAAGTTGTCCCAAATGCTTTCAGTGTAGTTATTTGTCGTACGATCTTAGCCATCACAAGCTAAGTACAAGTTACCATCACAAGCAACGGAGTTCAGTGTTGAGTCGTTATCCCAAACGTCTTCATTCGTCCTTGGTGTGGAGCTGACTACCACAAGCTACGTCCATGTTGCTATCCCAAGCAACCGAGCCCAATATTTCAGCGTTATCCCAAACGTCTTTGTTAGTCCTTGGTATGGAGTCGGCTATCATAAGCTAGGTCCAGGTTGCTGTTCCAAGCAACAGTGTCAGAACGCTATCCCAAACGTCATGTCAGGCACAGTCTGCAACGCCGGTGAGGCATCAATACTAATATTCACCTAACTTGATCCTAAAACAGATCGGTTATTCGACAATTACCTGGTGGTGACGCCCCTTCAGAAAGAGGCCTGCACGCCTCTTTCTAATTTTGCTCCGCGACAAAAGGAACCTTGAAGGCGACCATCCGTCGGCATTTCGCCGACAATGCAGATCTATCGGCCAACCTTCTGACGTGTTCTCTAATACTGATATGTTCAGCGATTCCTCGACACTGCTGAAAACGCAAAAATCGGTGCGCGAACCCGATTGACATGTTAACGCTTTGGCACGTTTATAGACGGCTAGAGAGTTGGAAGGTAGGGCGGAGCGAGGTACTACTACGACGAGACCGAAACATAATTGAATAATATGCGTGTCTTTGTCTTTACCTCAATCAGTAGCGTAGAAGCTTACCATTCATTAAACCTTGTTTATGCACTCCACTGGTTTTCATGGTATACTTCACCTGTTATTACCCATGTTAGGTTCTACTGTTTGTCTTAAATCACAGCTAGTAATTGTGGAACCAATCAATACGAGTCAAATTCTTATTATCTTACTTCTGAAATTATCGGCCTTTTGTACTTCGCCAGCTACTTTCCAAAGAGCTAGAGAATCTTTGTGGCGTAGAGCACGGGCTTGTGTTGAATCCAGAGGTGGTCGCTTTCAACACCTCCTTAGGTTGGATGTTATAGTATTTAATCAGCATTATTTTTTGTTCCTAATGTCGTGTCCTGGTAAATTTCGAATTAACAACGTAAATTGTATCAAATGCAATATTTATTGTTGTCGTGTTTAATTCTTGTTAGCTTATAAACGTTTCCTTTGTTTTGAAGTTTCATCTATAAACAAAAATGTATATTCCGGCAAAACCACTGGCATGCACTGGACATGTTTAATGAATGGTAAGATTCTACGCTACTAATTGAGGAAAATACACGCATATTAATCAATTAATGTTGTAATGAGGTACCATAGCTTTCTTGTTTTCATAATAGGGGAGTTTAAACCTTTACATAAGAATATTTTAGGATTTTACCTCAAATAGTCAAAAACGAGTGATCTGACAAAACTTCCTTAAGACACAAAATTTATGGAAAATTAGTAGATATAATTTTATTTCAATTTCATAAAGAAAACTTCATCACCCTAGGGGGAGCATCTTTGGACCCTTATTTATAGGAACTTCTTTTGTTATTTTTGGATGTACTTCCTACCCTAGAAATATTGGCACGTCTCTATAAAACACCCTGTATGTTTTAGTGTAAAAGTGGAGGTTGAACATTTGGAGAGAGAGAGAGAGCCTGAATACGATTTAAGAACTTTTTTAAATAGAACCGTTGGCCTCTTTTTAGTACTTTATAACCCGAGAATATGAAATTACTAGGTAACTTCCAAAATGACGAACTGGCAGGCACTGGCGTATTCAGGGCGGCTAATGCTTCCTTTTATGCTACAGTGAAACCAATTGACCCTACCTAACTGAAACGCTGGATCCGCCCACAAGCCTCACTTTTTTCCGGATACGCTAGCGATGGCAGGCTGTCAAAGTTAAACGTTTGTAGCTCAAAAACTAATCATCACACTGCTGTTGTACGTTTTCTCAATATTCTTCTCTTGATAGATCCGAATATGTTTTAAAATGGAAGATTCCATTTAAACCAAAATTTCAATATCTATCGATTTTTTAACTGATTGTCTCACATTATATTCCATATTATCGAAAGAAAGTTTATATAACTATGTATATCGTGTTATAAGCGACTCAATGTTCAAAAATGGTTATTTTTGACACCCCGTCAGTCTTCCATGCTGAAAGATAGCAAATTATCATTCTCGGGATATAACGTAATTAAAAAAATCTCCAAGATGGCGCTCAACCGTTAAAATATAGTATATATAAATGCATTGCACGATCCGTTCAGAAATAAGTAGGAAGGAGCTTTTGTTTATGTTCCTTGGCGCGCCCGCTTAACTTTAAGGAACTCTTTTGAATTATCTTAGGTATATCTGGAAATCGTTTTTAATTATACGAATACACAAGTATCACCTCTATATATCTATAAATGCATTGCACGATCTGTTCAGAAATAAGTAGGAAGGAGCTTTTGTGTATGTTCCTTGGCGCGCCCGCTCAACTTTAATGAACTATTTTTAATTATCTTAGGTATATCTGGAAATCGTTTTTAGTTATACGAATACACCAAGTATCACCTCTTTTTCCACACTGGTCTGCAACTTTTTCCCCTAACTGCTCATAACATTGCTTGTCTTTCTGCAGTTCTGAAAACTTTCTGCTGCCGAGCCAGTTTATCTCCGATCTGTCATGAGTTAATTGGATCGAATCTTTTCGAACTACTATTTTACTTTCTTGCACTTCTAAATTGTCTGGTTCATAAGGAATGGTTTCTGCAATAGGTATGGTCTGGAGAGAACAGAAAAAAAATATTTTTGTACCTACTATACATAAAAGTAGAAGAAATCTCAAAAAATTACAACCGAATTGGTACCACTGAAAGTTATACAGTATGTTGCCACTAGTATTACAAAGCCGGTCACCACACGTAGTATAAAGAGCAACACTGGCTTGATGTTACCTGCCTCATGAAGAAATTTGGTATTTAATTTCACCCTCTCCCAGTTTCAGTTTGCCAATTCACACAAATCAGAATAGATTTGCACGGGTGACACCATTGATTTGAGCATCCTCACCAGATAAAAAGGAGATATGATAGCACTGGTTTGTGCTGGCTACCCGATGTGTAAATAAATACTAGGATATTTCGGCAAAGTGAATTTTATCCACAATACCTCCATGGTGTAAAAAATATACAATACGAGGGATGTCTTTTAAGTTTTGCATATAGAAACATAGTAGGCCGCGCGGATCGAACGTCAGTACTGAATCATAACCTCACTCTTTAGTAAACTTAAATTCAACGTTTCACAACAATACGTGCAGTGTTCTCACTACAGTGAATTTTTAAGTGTCACCAAGTCATTAGAAGAATGGAACTCAACCGAGAACATTTTCGCGCCATAATTTATTATAACATTCAGAGACAATTATCTCAACAAGAATGCCTTGCTGAGTTACTGTCTGTTTTCGGGAACAAAGCGCCACATCAGTCAACAATTCCCCGTTGGTATGGAGAATTCAAACGTGGACGGGTGAGGCAGTCACCCAGGAATACGTCGATGCTGTGCGCAAACTCATCATTGAAGATAGACATGTGACATATCGCGAGATTGAGGCGTCCTTGAAGATCTCAAAGACCTCAATTCAAAAAAATTTGCATGAATAATTAGGAGTGAGAAAATTAGTTTCTCGTTGGATACGCCACCTGTTGACTGAAGAGCAGAAAGCAACCAGCGTTAATTGGTGTCAAAAAACGCTTGACCGTTTCAATTCCGGAAACTCAAAAAATGTGTTCAGCATTGTTAGTGGTGATGAATTGTCGATTTACTGTTATGAATCAGAAAATAAACGACAGTCAGCTGTTTGGGTGTTCCAAGGTGAAGAAAAGCCAACAAAAGTCATGTGTTCTCGAAGTGTTTCGAAAAAGATGGTCGCGACATTTGTGTCAAAAGCGGGTCATATTGCAACAATTCCTCTTAATGAGCAAAGAACTGTTACTGCGGATTGGTATACCACCATTTGTTTGCCAAAAGTCATCACCGAGCTTCAAAAAATCAACCCCGAAAGAAGAATCATCCTCCACCAAGACAATGCAAGCTCGCACACAGCCCAAAAAACAAGGCAGTATTTAACGGAAGAAACGTGGAATTATTGGACCATATAGTCCCGATCTAAGTCCTAACGATTTCTTTACTTTCCCGAAAATTAAAAACAGACTGCGTGGTCAAAGGTTCCAGTCACCAGAAGAAGCAGTTGACGCATTCAAAAATGCCGTTTTGGATCTGCCAGCAAACGAGTGGAATAAGTGCTTCGAAAATTGGTTCGAGCACATGCAGATGGGTATTAATCTTCCAGGAGAGAGGAGAATACTTCGAAAAACAATAAAGTCATTTAAAACTACCTACCGTGTTGTTTTATTTCCATATGCAAAACTTAAAAGACATCCCTCGTATGTATATCCACATTCCAATTATTCCTTATAGTTACCGAATTGTTGTTCAGCAGAAGATAAGCAAAGGCTCCAACTATTATAAGTATTTAAGTGTAGGAGAGGGTACGTTGCAGTAAGTACACACCTATTGAGGTGGTGTCGATTGAGGTAATGAAACATTATTTTTTAATTACGCAGAAACTCGTAGAGGATACAAACTTGATTTTTTTATATGAAATTATAAACAATTTATGTTGAAAACATCCGAACTAATTTCTCGTAGTATTGGAAGAAAATAGTTGTGCTTGAGTTTTGGAATGACGATGTTGAGAGTAGACTGTATTAACCAAATCTTCATTAATTTTAATAGCCGCTAGATGGGGATCATAGAAGTCAAAACCGCAATAAATTTGGGCATTACCAACATAATATTGTACTTTGCAATTTTGAACATAACAGAAATAATAAATGGTAAACACGTAAACTTGAGGTACTCCAGAACATTTGATGATGATTCTGGTGTGTAAAGAACTAGGAATGTTGTTAAACCTTTATCTAACGCCAACAGTGAGGTCATCTGTTACTCTAGTTAATACTGAAATAGTACTATGACCTGACCTCAAACCTGATTGGCAGTCTGGACGTACATGAAAATTTTTAAATAATCTTCGAAAGGGTGATCCATCTGTTGGTTGATTTTTGAACTAGGGCTTATGTCACAGTGTAAGTGTTGCCTTACATCAGTTCTGTTTTGGCAGGAATTTAGTAAAGAGTCTGCGGTGAACAAATATGGATCGATATACGCTTGGACAACGTTGGGAAACGCACAAAATTTTACGGTTGGACGAGGACCCCCATTTTTACCGAAAAATAATTTTTTTCGGATGAGGCCCATTTTCATCTTGGTGCCAATAAGCAAAATTGCCATATTTGGTGCTTAGAATAACCAAATGAAATTACCTAAAAGCCAATGCATCCACCACGCGTAACTGTTTGCTGTGGTTTGTGGTTCGGTGGCATTATTGGCCCTTTTTTTTTTCGAAAATGAAGGACGCGCCGTCACGGTCATTGGTGTGCGCTATCGGAGCATGCTGTCTGACTATTTCTTTCCGGAAATCGATAAAAAGACTTGGATGGCGTGTGGTTCCAGCAAGACGGCGCGACCTGCTATACAAGCCCTGAAACAATCGCTCTTCTTCAAGAACAGTCCGAAAATCGCGTAGTCAGCCGTTTTAGTGATGTGACTTGGCCATCGCGAAGCTTTGATTTAACTTCGTTGATTTATTTTTTGTGGGGAAGCGTAAAAGATAAATGCTATGTGCATGCCCCAGCGTCGATTAAGCACTTGAAGATCAACATTCATGCAGCCATTGGTGAGACAATATCGAAGACTTTGGAAAATCTACTGAAAAATTCGGTCGACAGTCTGGTTCAAGCTCAGCCGTGGCGCGCATATGAATGATATTGTTTCATCATTAACCGAAAGAATAGTACTCTCAAATAAAAAAAAACTCGTTTGGAAAAAGAACACTGCGTTTTCATTTTAACCATCCATTTAAAAATTAACCAACATATGGATCACCCTTCACTTGCATGAATACTACCTAAGTCATGAGACAAGATTGGAAGTAAATTTACAGGACGTAAGCGATTAGAAGTTGTAGGATTCGATAATTTTGACAATGGCCTATCTATTTCTTCTTTCCATTGACCTGCATAAACAAATTTATTGACAATTACAATCACTCATGGGAATAACTCATTTAAACAATAAATGTAATTGCAAAAAGGGAAAACATACAGAAAAGCTGATACAGGTGCTGACCCAATAGAGAAAAAATAATTAGCATTATGGTGTGAAAATACGTATACCTATATTTTATATACTCGTAATATACTGCAAAACTTAAAGTTATCAATATATACATCATAGTAAGTGAATTATCCTTTAAAAACGGAAGTAATGAGGTGATTTAGAGTATATGAACATAACATAGTAAGTGATATTTATATAATTTTGAAACATTTAACCAACCTAGTTTTTGAATAGTTATCGAAATATGGTCGTACTTTTTCAAGTTTTCTACTAATCCACGAGTACAGCAAGAATTTTGAATTTTTTGCGAAGTTTTATAGATACCGAATCTAAAAATGAATGGTAAACCATATCGCAATAAGTAATTTTTGAAACGATCAATGATTCGCATATAATTTTCTTAGTTTTATAGTATAAAATTTCTTTACTGAAGCATTACGGGCGAAGGACTGAAAAGCAACTTTTAGTAATATGACTGATGTTTGTACATCTTTTAATATATTGCCTTATTTTTTTTTTGAGAAAATATGAAAACTTTAGACTTTGTAGGATTTAAACGGAGGTTGTGACTTTGGGTAATTATCGGTAGCAATTAAATCCTCATTTATTTTAGAGCTATAATTTTGTCATTATTGAATTTTTTGTATAATTGAGAATCATCGACAAATAATATATTGCAATATTCTACCACTTTGTCCAGATTGGCTACCTATGTAAAGATGAAAAAGGATTGGTCCAAGCACTGTTCCTTGGGGCACTTCCGAGGAAGCTTTTGGCGATGAGTTCATATCAATAACATATTTTTGAGATCTTGTTATGGACCATACCAATTGAAGAGTTCGTAATATTTAAATTTAGCTAATAACATTGAATAATTTATCGTGTTAAATGATTTTGTAGACTCTAAGAGGACTAAAGATGTTTCCAGTAGATTAAATAACATATTACCAAATTATATAAGAAATATGTCAAATAAAACAAAATTCAAAATTGAAGCCAAAAAATTTATAATTGAAAAACAAACTACATCAAATTGCAAACATACGTATGAAAGAAATTTAAAATTAATGTAATAATAAAAATCCTCCAACGTTCATATACTCGTATATGTGTGTATGTGTGCATCTATTTATGTGTTTGTATGAATATAATATGTATAGTCAACGCCAAACAAAGTGGCGGGCACGTCATCAAGGTGGGTGTGTTGAAAAATTTACATTGTTGCCAAACTTTTTGTAAAATAATAAAATTTATTATTTACATATCTAGGTTTATAAGCAATATTAACCTCAAATGAGAACAAAAATAATAGTATAATAAAATTATAGATCTGTACTTGCATAATCATTAAGTATGACAATTATTGATCAGATGACACTATGAAACTACCATATTTAATTGATAGCTTAAAGTTACTGAATAAAAATCCAAATTTTATGCAGGGTATTTATTTTACAGAATTCATACAGAAAAATGCATTCTAAAATTAGGTAAGCTACTGGTGTAAGCTTTTTCTGTACAATAAAGTTAGTCGGAATTTCTTTCTTCAGCGCTGTCTGAATCTGAATCTTCATCACTCTCAAAGTTGATTATTAAAGGTTCGATGTCTGGTCAATCAAAAATTCGTTCTCTTTCATACCATTTAAAAATTTCTTGCTCAGTATGTCGAACACTATTTTTCTACATGTCTGGGGTAACCGTTTGTAGAGCCTCGTTCCACATATCCAAACAGTCTTTTTCACTGTACCATCTCTACCAATATGTCTGTTATAGTAACCTTTTGCTATGCCCCAAATTAACTCAATAGGGTTAAATATACAATGGTAAGGAGGCAGACGAAGAACTTTGTGCCCATGTTGTTCCGCCAATTCATCAATCACGTATATTTTAGGTGGTTTGTTTCTAAAAAAGCAGTTATTTTAAGAATAGGAATAAACAAAAGAAATATAAACTGTCGACCAAAATATATATAATTAAGAAGCATTATGTACCGAGCAACAATACTCAATAGCTCTGTTTTAAACATTGTGTTTAAAAATGGTATGTTTTGATTTGTCAACCAGTCTTGGATATTTTTTTTTGTCCATGCATTGTTGGGCACTTTGTTCAATATCATGCTGTGATAAGGGGCGTTATCCAGTATAATCATAGATGGACTCTCCAATTTTTCTAATAACTGATGTTGAAACCATTTCAAAAAATTGTCCTGGTTCATCTCTCCATGGTAATCGCTCAATTTTGTTTTCGAAGAAAATATCGCTTCACTACCCTCAATAAACCCATTTTCATTTCCAGCATGTAATATAATGTATCTAAAATATATTAGTTTTAAATTTTATAGTGCAAATTGTGTAAAAGTACATACCTTTTACCATCTGTTTTAATAGCTTTCACGCTTTTTTGGTTTCCATTTTGCCAAGAGCGACCTATGGTCCCATTTTGAAATATCCAAGTTTCATCGAGGAGGACAAACTGGTATAAGGCCTCAACCTTGGCTTGATTGTATTGCCTTAGAAATTCCACCCTTTTCAAAGCTATACTTGGTAGTTCCATGAGGCCTCGTCGCGGATTGTCCTTAAGCCACTTAAATCCAAGATCTCTAAGCAACCGCCTTAAAGACGTGGCACTACCATCAAATAATGCCCTATCTCTTAATCGAGACCATAAAGTTTGTATCGTAACTTGTTCTTCTGAAACCATGTGTAATATGACATTATAATTTAGTTAACAAATTAATGCAAATTTCTGATAAGTTATTATAATAAGATCTTACTTTTGTGATACATATTATAGATCGCTTCTCGAATGGCACTTGTATCCAATGTCGCTGTGTTGGTTACACGTTTAATATAACTCCGCTTTTTCTTGGGCGATTCTAAATTTGCATCACTTTTCACACCCTCGGAAATACGACTAACTGTCCTTAAACTAATTTTTAAAGCAGCAGCAACACGCTACAAAAAATGAAATAAAATTTTACTATTATTAATATACATTAGATATGATTATTAGTAACCTACCTCTTGAACAGCATTTAAAGGCAACAAAGGCCCGTTGTTGTCCCTTTCTTGCTCAAAGTAGTGCATTAACGAGGCCACGAGTTCCTTACACCGACTATTTAACTGTTTGGGCATCTTTATATATCAAAATTGCCTTTATCTACTCGTAAAATGAATAATTTTGTTTTGAAACAAACAGTTTGTTGATTTACAGTATGCGGGGCCAAAGGATTTATAAAGATTTGAAATGCCACAAATTGATTC